TACACAGAGAGATCCTATCTTTATATTAAAAAATAATAATAAGTTTTCCTAAGTCCTAAAAGTCTTGTACTATTTATAACAAGTTAAAATGAAAGTTATTAAGATCTCAGTCCATATCCTAGAGTCCTGTGGTCATTGACTAAAAGTAGTCTAGAGTCGGGCAGTGGTGGCGCGCGCCTTTAATCCTAAGCACTCGAGAGGCAGAAGCAAATGGATCTCTGTGAGTTCAAGGCCAGCTTGGTCTACAAGAGCTAGTTCCAGAACAGCAAGGGCTGTTACACAGAGAAATCCTGTCTGGGGGTGGGGTGGGAGGAGACAACGTAGGAACCATTAGCATTCCTTCCCTGTCTTTCCCTTCCTCCTCACATGGCTGTAACGAGTACATGTGAAGGTGGTACCCAGGACGGATGAGAGTAAGGGAGTAATTATAGTCCCACCAACTAAATGCCAGAATAACAGTTACTTGAAGGGGTTAACCTCCACCTATATATTAACAATGAGAGAAAGGCCTCTAATCTCAAAAAGTTGCAGGCGAGGAAAGATCCTACTCATGAATGTATCCTGAGCCCAAACAACACCACCATCTTCTACAATCAGCACAGGAAAGTGAACGTGGCTAAAGACAGAAAAAGAGACTTCTCCATGATGATGCTATTTTCCTAGGTTGGCTTCCAGATGGCTTATATAATAAGAGCACAGAAGAAATAAAACACAAAAGACACATAACTGGTAGAGAGGCCTGATGTGTTATAAAATACATGTGTGTTTCATTAAAAGCATCAGAAAGGATCTGAGTGAGCAGACTCATCTATGTGAGCAGATTCTGTGTGAGCGTGCAAAGGATAAGTAGTTACTACCCCTCCCTAGCCAATCTGTGCCTCACAGGTCCTCCAAATGTATTGTCAGGACTGTAAATTCAGAGGCATGTCAGAAATCACACTGCCCAGGGCCCCAGGCCTGCCAGTGACCCTTGCCTGAGCTGGATGGCTCCACACTGACTTGTGCTTCTGTTGGCTCCGGTACAGAGACATGATGCTCCACGGACGGATGATTGCACCAGCCAGGCACACAAATGCTCAGTGTGTTTCATCACCCTCTACTGTCTGTCTAGGATTGTGACACCATTTCCCTAATGACTCCAAACACTGGGTGGATCAACAGGGCACAGCCCCAAGTCCGGGCTTCCTAAACATAGAATCAGAAGTGGGGCAGAGGTGAACAGCATACAGTCATGATTAACGCACACAAATGAACACAGAACACAGTACTCCTCTCACATTGTCTCTTGTGTGTTCACCTGTTTGTACCTGTCGCAGGGGTCTGAGGATGACTGTCTCCCAACAGACTCCACACTTTAATGAGCTAAGGACCCCGTGCCAATCTTAGATGTTGCAGAGGGTCCATAGCTTAGAGAGTTTATTCCAGTTTCACCGGCTAAAGGACAACCACTCTGGATTGGATTAAATACAGCAAATGTCATAGGTGCTAGCCTTACTCTAAATGACGACATGTTTTCTCCCACTCTTTCTTTCGAGGGTCTCGTGTAGCCCATGTAACCCAAGCTGGTCTCAAACTCTAGTCAAGGATGATCTTGACCAGATCTTTCTGCCTCTACCATCCCGAGTGCCTGGCATTACAAGTGAGCACCACTTCTCTTAGCTCGTGTGGCACTAGGGATCAAAGTCTGGGCTTCAGGTATGCCAGACAAGCAATCTACCAACTAATATCCACAGCTCCAAACAGCATACAGTTCTACAGGTCCTCATCCACAACCCTTCAGAGGATAAACTTCTTATAAAGTACCTGACCACTTGACCAGTTTTAACACGAAAGCAGAGGACCAAAATTTTTCTACATTTTTTATTATATTTAGGAAAAAAATCGTAACTGGAAACTAAGGTAAGTCATGCAAACTGAGTGAGAATTTAAAGTCCTGTAAAAACTTGGTGGCAGCATCTGGAACCACTGCCCAGGTCAAGTCTAAGACATCTATGATGCTGGAATGTAGAGGACACAGTGTACCCACCAAGGCAAAGAGAGCAGGAGACCCCGCAGACCCTCCAAACCCTGACTACTGTCTCCTGTCTATGCAGAACTGGCCCCCAAACCCTATCAGGTCCAAGCCAGAAGCTATGCATGCATGGCAAACACCTCCGGCAGCCAGGGGGGAAGTAGGGAAGGAAGATATACTTGCACTGTGTTCTGGTTGGCCCACTGAATGCAGCGGAAGAGGGTGTGCACTGGACATGACAGGACACCCCCTGAACTTCTTGTGTGCCTTGTTAACTAACCTTGGTGGCAGCTATCACACATGGGCAGCACCACTGAGGGGACAAAACTCTGCTCCTTAGTTAGAGACAGCCAGCTCGGCCCTTGGGGAACCCCCCACATTATTGATAGCAAGGCTAGATCGAGCACTCCATCAGAGAGGTTACAGAGCAGACAAGGACCACTGCGGGACTCTTTGAAAGCACTGAAAAGTTTAGCCTTTTGATTAATTTAATAATTTATTTCTTCCTTATTGTTTAGTGACTACTCCTATAAAATTTGACTCCCTATGAACCTAATGTCTGAAATGATTATCCGAGTAATAATCTGAAATTATTACTCCAACTAAAACTGTTTCTTTAGGCGCATAAGTAAACAAGGACTGGTTTTTAACTCACTTCTACCAGAAGCTAACAGGTATCATATATTGCATGGGAAATTACTGAAGTCAAGTAACCCTAGGAAAGCATTACATTTAATAGAAAACAATCTCTCTCTCTCATGTGCACTCTCATTTTTCCAGTTTTTAAAAACAAGGTCTTAGCAACATAGTTCAAGTTGACGTTGGATCAGCTGTAGTCCAGGCTGCTGTCGAACATGCGATCCTACCTCAGCCTCCAGAGCTGGGATTACAGGCACATACCACCACGCTCCGTTAATGCTCATTACTATGGGGCTTTCTAGACGTTTGTCACCACACAATAGTGCTCTTCCAGAGGAAGGGACAGTATACAATGCCTCTACACTTTTCCCTGAAGAATCTGATGCTGTTATTCCTGGGGTTTCAGGGTGCTGGAGACGGATCCTAGGGCTTCACACATGCATATGAGGTATATACTCTCCCAGTGAGATACAATCCTTTCCCAGACAAGAGTTGGGGTGGTTTTACTTAATTTCCTTATTATTTATCTGAATTATTTCTCATTGTGTGTCTGTATGTGTGTGGCTTGTGTGTGCGGGTGCAGGTGCCTGAGGCAGTCGGAGGTATCAGATCTCCCTAGAGCTGGAGTCACCCGTGTGAACCACCCAGCGTGGGTGCTGGGTGCTGCGTTTGGGTCATCTACTTGTTCTTACCCACCCAGCCGTCCCTCCAGCCTACAGCTTTATTGCAGCATTGTCAATCAGCCTTCAGCAGTAAGACATATTCTAAAGACCATACTTTGAGAACATTTGGCTAGAAGTAAGAATGAAGGCCTGATAAAACCTCAGCGTCTAAGTTCTAACTTCCAGGTATTCTGATCGATTGGTCTCGGCTATGGTTTGGATGAACCTCTGGGATGACTTAAGTGTAAATCTCAAAGGTTCCCGTGTCAGGAGATTGGTCCTCGGTGCAACAGCACTTAAGTGCTTAGGACTTTTATGAGGTGGGCTCTTGAATGAGTCCCTAAGTCATCAGGGAAGAGACTAAGGTTCTGCTTCTGCAGTCTGGTGATAGTACTTGTAGGTATGAGTGGTTAAAGCTTGAGACAGACCCCTGAGTCACTGTCTGCTTCTGGTTCACAGTGGGAGAGGCTTCCTCCTCCCACCTGCCTGACACCTGGGCTCCACCATCCGGCAGGCGATCCTCAGAGAGCTGAGAGCTGTATCCTGCTCTTGCACCTCAATAGTAGTCCACCCCTTGTTATAGTGATTTTAAAAAAAAAAAAAGACAAACAGCCAGGCAATGGTGGCACATGCCTTTATTATTCCCAGCACTCGGGAGGCAGAGGTAAGCGGACCTCTGTGAGTTCCAGGCCAGCCTGGTCTACAGAGCGAGTTCCAGGACAGTCAAGACTACAGTCCAGACTACACAGAGAAACCTTGTCTCAAAAAAACAAACAAACAAAAAACCTGATAAACAGCTCTCATCCTACCCTCTTGAAAAAATTTGTCGCAAAATTAAGATGTAAATGGTCAAAGTAAAACAAAGAATTTACTGATAACATCAAAACATACACAGAGCAAAGTCGAAGGACAAGTCAAAAAACTAAGATGAAAAAAATAATTACCATGCCAGGTGGTGGTGGCTCACACCTCTAATCCCAGTACTTGGGAGGCAGAGTCAGCCCGATCTGAGTTAGAGGTCAGCCTGGTTCCAGGACAGCCAGGGCTACACAGAGAAACCCTGAATCAAAATGGAAAAAATAATTACCGATGTCTTCAAGCTAACAAAATTTTCAATGTAAAAATTAGAAAACTCAAACAACAGTAATATATGTATAAAACATAGAAATTTTATTTGTGAAGTACTGAGTAATTAAGACGGCCATATAATCTACAGCAACTGGAAAATGTACCAGAGACAACAATAACTCCCCACCCCACCCCCAAACAAGCATGCACAAAACCAAATATACAAGTAGTAAGAACTCAGTGCCTTGGGAGATTGAACCACACCACGACCTTGATTATATGCAAATGAGCTGAATACCCCTGTTAGTTTGTAGCAACAAAAATACACGGTGCCTGTTTCATTTAATCGCTGACTACATCATTAAAGCCGTGAGTACCCTCTTCAAATGCAGGCCTTGGAAATAAAATAATATATTGAAGAACACACAGAGGAGCTAACACATATCGCCCAGCCCTCCTGATAACAGCTCTATCAAAACTCCGGCAGCTGCCCTTCTACATTACAGACAAACTCTGAATAGCCTTAGGCCTATAGAAGTAGCAGCACCAGCTTCAGCCTGAGCACGCTAAACCCATTCAGTTTGCGTAATTAAACAGTCAGATTAGAAGGCAAGACTTACCCACAGAAGCCGAGCTTTTTAGAACTGACTCCTTTGGCGCTCCCTTTTCAATTCGCAATGTGGCCCACTGTTCAAAACAAGAAGCATTCATTGAAACTCTTCCATAGACACACGCAAACATGGAAACATACAGAAGTGACATTAAAAACTAAGGCTGGGCACCGTCTGAATTAGGGAGACGCCCCAGGGAATCTCTGGGATGCACTCTTGTTAGGGTGAGGGCTAAAGTTACGTTTTAAGTTTAAATCACTTTGCTTAAGAGATCCAGAAACAAAAAGCTTCTAGCCTGTAAGCCAGACGACTCCCTGGAGTACTGGGGGCTGTTGTTCACGTAGGATGACAAGCCACGCGTTTTCATGTCTGTAACAGGGTTGGTTGCCCCAGCTGCACAGGATGTGCTTGATCACACAGTGCAGGAGGAACACAGCAGGACTCTCATCATCAGGGTGTATGCTCACCCCAGAGTGGAGCAAGGTGAGAGATTGCGCCTTCTAGGGTTCCATAAACATCGGACTAACTCTCTGCCATTCTCTGGGCATCCCGGGTATGAACCTGGCCAGTGTCCACTGTCCTGGCCAGTATTTAATAAAGTTTGCTTCAAATTCAGCTCAAACATGTGGTAGGTGGTAGTGGTCTTATTTTCACCCAGTGGATTAACAAAGATCTTCTGTGTGCACTTAGAGTTGTCACTGATGATGTCCTACTTCTTGAGAAAACTGTGAAGCATGCAGGGCAAAAAAAAAAAAAAAAAAAAAAAAACAGGCTATGGTTTCAACAATGTCTGGTTTGGATTGGAAAAGAAGACCCACCAAATCCCAAACCAACCCCAGGAGGCGGGCAAAAGTATGTGAGTCTTTAGATGCTGTCTTGAAAAACACCCACTTGCACTTTTTTTTTGGATTTTCGAGACAGGGTTTCTCTGTAGCTTTGGAGCCTGTCCTGGAACTAGCTCTTGCAGACCAGGCTGGCCTCAAACTCACAGAGATTCACCTGCCTCTGCACCCCCCACAAAACCCCAGTGCTGGGATTAAAGGCGTGCACCACCAAACTAGGCTTCCAAGATATTTTTAATGACCACTTTAGCTCTTTTGTTTCAGCCACCAAAAGTCATAGTGTCCTCTAAGTTCCATCAGAAGGGTCCTGGGCTAACAGGATAACACGGTGGGTGGGGGAGCACATTTCACGCAAGGACATGAATGCCCATCGTGGCACTAAAAAAAGATCCTAAGGTAAGTTTTTCATAAAATAGCCAAGAATGACCTTGAACTTAAAAAAACACAACAAACAAACAAACAAAACAGAAACTAAGCAACTAAAGTCAGTGCCTGGAGCAGTCTAGGCAAGCACTTTACTGCTGACCCCATCCCAGTCTCTGGGCACAGGACTTTCCCCGCCTCCACCTCCCCTTGTAATGAGGATGACAATCCACACCTGGTTTATGCAAGCCTGGAGATTAAATCCAGAGCTTCACACACGCAAGGCAAGCACTCTCCCACCTGAGCCACAATCTGTCCTCTCTTCATGGATTTCTAATATTATTACCACCACAACTTAAAAGGTACAAGTGGATTTTATTTTTCAGCACAGAATTTAAAGACTCTGCAGATACTGGTGCCCCACGCTTTTTAGGCGGTCTGAGTTTTGAGTTTAAAATTTAGCAGTTAAAGGATAAAGATGTAGTGATAGAACACTTGCCTAGTTCAATCCTCAGCAGTACTTAGATGATAGACAGATAAACAGCTGGACAGAAAGATAGATGGATGGATAGATAGATAGATAGATAGATAGATAGATAGATAGATAGATGATAGATAGATAGATGATAGATAGATAGATGATAGATAGATAGATAGATGATAGATAGATAGATGATAGATAGATAGATAGATTGATAGATAGATAGATAGATAGATAGATAGATGATAGATAGATAGATAGATAGATAGATGATAGATAGATGATAGATAGATAGATAGATAGATAGATAGATGATAGATAGATAGATAGATAGATGATAGATAGATAGATAGATAGATGATAGGTAGATAGATAGATGATAGATATAGATAGATGATAGATAGATAGGTGATAGATATACAGATATGTAGATGATAGGTGGCACACCTATACATGCATAGATAATAGTGAAATGATACATAGCTGATAGATCGATAAACAGATAGATGATACATAGATGATAGAGAGACAGACAGACAGAAACAGATAAATAGGTTTATTTTAAAACCAATTACAAGATATCTAAGACTACAGTTCAGATACTAATATCTGGTTTTTTTTCTTTCTGAGTTAGGATTTCTTTCTCTAGCTGTCCTGGATCTCACTCTGTAGACCAGGCGCTGGCATCGAACTCTAATTGACCTGCCTCTGCCTCCCAGTGCTAAAATTAAAGGCGTGCGCCACCACACCCAGCCTAGACACTAACGTCTAAACTGACTATCTGAAAGGAATGGGAAAGGGCAAAATAAGAGGTAAAATGCACTGTGATCATTATAATCATATATAAGCACCCATTAAGGGATGAAAAGACAGATTTATTAATGTACAAAAAGAAACTTGAAAGGCTCAGACATCCGTCTTAAAATAGAGAAATTCAACATTGTATTTTTCCAATAAGCAAGAGAATAAACAGCCTAGAACATAGCACGAAAGTCAAGGAGCAAGACTCCAGCAGGACCATACATAGCAGCACGAAACCAAGCAGGAGACAGCCATCTAACTTAGAACATCTAAAGAGGTCCAGTCCTCCAGGCTTCCGGTTGCCCCTCACTACCAATAGACCCAGTCTTCACCTGGTTGCCTTTCTCTTCTTGTTTGGGGGAGAGGCATTAAACTCTGGGCTCCCATCTTTTCTCACCTGAGGAAAAGGTGAATTTCCATAGTTTTCCCCCTAAAGCTTTGACATCTATTATCACTTGTAAAAAAGTCAAAGATCATATAAAATAAAATAAGTTTGTGTGAACAATCAATTGTTATTATTCTTAGAACTCACCTTTCTATTGTGGCCACCTAATTTTATATTTCATACTAAGGCACCTTAGACTAGAGAGTTAGGGCATACTAACAATGTGAGCATTTTTAATTTTAATGACGTAGCACTTTTAGCAGGTAAGCACTCAATTATGTACCCTCCAAAATTTACATGTTAAATATAGAACGTTTATATTTGGAGAGCAGATCTTTAAAAGATGTGAGACGGTTAAAATGAAGCCGTTAAAATGAGCCCTAATGCGTAGTCTAAGAAGAAATCTGGACAACCGGAGATAGTGCTACAGAGATGGTTCAGTGGGTTGAAGCATTTGCTGTGCATGTGTTGATGTAGGAGAGTCTTCTATCTATCTGTTGCTTTCATTGGTTAATTAATAAAGAAAACTGCCTGGCCTGATAGGTCAGAACATAGGTAGGCGGGGAAGACAGAACTGAATTCTGGGAGGAAGAAAGCAGGGTCAGGAGAGCTGCCTGCCATGAAGCTGCCAGGTCAGACATGCTGAATCTTTCCCAGTAAGCCACAACCTCATGGTGGCATACAAATTATTAGAAATGGGTTGAATCAATATGTGAGAGTTAGCCAATAAGAGGCTGGAGGTAATGGGCCAGGCAGTGTTTGAATGAATACAGTTTGTGTGTTGTTATTTCTGGGTGTAAAGCTAGCCAGGCGGGAGCCAGGCGGGAACGCAGCCCGCCGCTCCTTCTACTACAATGTGTGAGGATTAGCGTTCAGATCCCAAGGGCCCACACAAAGCCAGATGTGTTGGCAAGCATCTATAATCCCAGCTCTCCTATAGAATAGATGGGAGGCAGAAACATGAGAATCCACAGAAGGTAATAACTTCACGATAACTTCCTGCATACATCATAAAAACCAGACTCAAAGAAAAGAACTTTGAGAATACATAAGGTTTCCCCATTGGAGAGCATCAAGGGTCTGCAAAAACTGTTCAAGATGAGCAGCTGTTCAAGGTTGGAGAAACAGCTCTTCAAAGCCAACAGGAATCTGTGTAGACAGCTGCTTTGGAATCTGTGTAGACATCCGCTTGGGAATCTGTGTAGACAACCGCTTGGGAATCTGTGTAAACAGCTGCTTGGGAATCTGTGTAGACAACCGCTTGGGAATCTGTGTAGACAGCCGCTTTGGAATCTGTGTAGACATCCGCTTGGGAATCTGTGTAGATAACCGCTTGGGAATCTGTATAGACAGCTGCTTGGGAATCTGTGTAGACAGCCGCTTGGGAATCTGTGTAGACAACCGCTTCCCAGTGTGTGCTTATTCACCACTGAAAACCAAGAGGCATTGCAGCCTGCCTGGTGTCAGGGAGAATTTGTCTTCCTATTATTTCCCAGATGAGACTTTAAGCTCCCGGGGCATCTGTTTCATCATCTCTCTAAGGAGGGTCAACGCCAAAGGTGACAGTAAAGATTAGCGAGCCAGGCAGGGTCTGACCCAGCTCTGTAAGTCCGACTACTTGGGAGGCTGATACAGGAGGATCATAAATTCAAGGCCTGCGTACACTAAATCTAATAGCTAGTTCTAGGGATTTAAAGGCCAGCCTGCACAACTTACTGAGTCCCTCTGTCAAAATACGAATTAAATGAGGACTGAGGAGACAGGGCAGTGTAGAGAGCACTTGCCTAGCACATGCAAGTCCTTGGGTTCAACCCTCTATGAGGATGTGGACGTGTGGGGAAGCACAGAAGGAGAGCAGCTGCCTGGTGCCCACCGGATGGTAGAATACTAGGCAATTCCTCACTTGGTTTATGTCCTCCAGACCATCAGTGTCTCCCAACAAGCCACTATTGTCTTTCACCAAGCCAGCTTCTCCACTCATGGGGGAGTCCCGGAATGGTTCTTCTGGAGACTCCACGTCTCTTCAAGCATTCTCAGAATGCTTCTCCTCACAACCATGCAGACAAGAGGACTCTGAATACAGAAGCAGCTTTAACATCCACTGCTACACCCCACCTCAATCTTCAAGCCCCAAGGAAAGCTAAAAGGCATGGATCTGTCAAGCTTCTCACCAGTAAATTTCCAAAGTCTGGAGGGGGAAATTC